CTCCCTTTCCCTTCTCCCGGCATCCTTCTTCTCTCCATTGGTATCTTTGTCATAGCTCTTAATTCGCCAACGCGCCGTGCCTCACCGCCCTCAGCGTGTCCCAGTGTTTAACCTCTTAAACGAACCCATTTTGAGTCGATTGAGGAGATCAAGGCCGCGGCCCGGGTTCTCGCAAACATCCCAGTCGAATCGTTCCATAGATGTTACGAAGCATGGAAAACACGCTGAAATCGTTGTATAGCTGCCCAAGGGGACTACTTTGAAGAGGATGGATGGCCCTTTCACCTTCCTTAGTCTTTACGTCAGTCGGAGTATTTAATTCAGACCTTTTACATCAACTTTATTGGATTATATTTACTATTACTACCGATGGAATACCATAACCAACTTGATGTTCTTTTGTAGGTCGGGTGCAAAGGAATGCAGCTACATAAAATGAGCTAGCTCAACAACCCTTTCAACTTTTTACTAATTTTTTTTAAGCTTTTAATTAGCCAAACTTTACATTCCTTTTTCCTTCACAATATACCACAACTATGATGATGATATAATAGAAATTTCAATGCCTAAAAGGCATCACCATACAAATTGAAACGTTGACGAAATGCTGCTTAAAACACAACAAACTCATATATACGTCAGTCAGAGAGACAATGGAGGATGCGCTTGTCAAGTGATTTGTTATTGTGTTAAAGTAAATTTGCTTTCGCCTTTGCTAACACTTTTTTCATGCATTTCTTGTTTTTATTTCATTTTTTTGTGACACACCTTTTGTTTTTATTTTTTTTTTATTTTGCATTTTTCTATGGATTGTTGCAAACAATGGCTCACTCATGACTAAAAGTTAAAATCCGCAGTTGAGTTTTTTTCATAAAGTTTTCTTTCCTAGTGAAATAAACAAAGCTTGCTTTTTTAATTATTTTGTTACCAACACAAAACCCAGTTGAAATTTATTGTATATATGCAATATATGAGAAGTTCCAGAGCGAGCGTAAGAAAACATCGTCGAACATATTGAGGGCAGTAGACGTAAACTATAAACGAACCAACGATTTTGCACACTCTCGTTCTGAGTTGAAACCTGCGATTATATGAAACCTTAAATCCTAAAATATCTATCAAAAGCCTAATCAGCTAATCCTTCAGTTATTTTTCTGGCACTTCTTTTCTTGTTAGTTTCATCATGCGTAAATAACTGTCGATATCGAATTGCTTGATTCGAATAGAGACGAGGTAGAGTGTACATGTTTTTCTTAAAAGAATTTTTGATTTTCTTTTACTCACAATTTTTTTATAAAAGAGATTTTTTATAGAAATTAAAACTGTAATTTTATTGCTCAAAATTAGCATCATACGAGTTGGGTACACTTCATTGCTGAATATATTTTTTCTTAAAAAGACAATTTTTTCTGATTCCAATCAAAAGGACTTTCGATATTGTTATAAAGGATATATATAAAAACTTTTGATAAAAATAAAATAAAATTAAAATAAATTTTTCATATAGTGAAGTAGAGCAAAGACAACTCTAAAACACTGTCAATCATTTTGGATAATTATATTTTCTATATAAGCAGTTGTACAATCGCACAGACGTGGGGAATGGATTTTTTATTTTTTTTTTTAATTAAATAAAGAGATGTTATTTTGATAATCAAAGAAACTTTAAACTCCCTTAAAAGATCGTTAGTTTCGTCGCATTTGTGACACTTACCGCTGTCTTGTTTAAAATAAACGGTATCCAGATCAATACCATCACGATAGCGCAATCCATTCATTTTCGAAAAAGTAAAGTCCAATAACCCCGCTGGACCATAAACCGCATCAAACAACTAAATGTTGAGAATGGTGAGGCTTTTCAACAATAAATCAGAGGCTTTTCGATCTCCAGATGGGACAGTTTTGCTTATGGACATAGCCATGAGCCTCATCAGTCAAGATTATTTTTGGACGAAATTTTTCTAGTGAATCTTGATAATTTCAATGCATTGTTGCAGTAGCAGCGTAGTTTTATTTGTCAAATGTTAAACAATTATTGCTTTAAGAGTGACATCTACCGGAGGCCATTAAAAGTAACACCTGTAATTCGAAAACCCTTTACTAGGGCTGTTCAAAAATGTTTTTGGTAATTGGCTGAAAATTTCGAACAAGCAATGAGGAATGAGCCGCTTCACCAAACATAATGCAAACCCCACGAATTTTTTTCCATGTAGGCGTCTCCTCGCTCGTTAAGCTCAATTTTCTTATGTTTCAAATGTTTTAAGCTCTCTCCATTACAGAAAAAATCAATAGCAGGGTTCGCTGTTGAGCGCCAATTTCAAACTCAGGTCGATATACTCTAAGCATTTAAATGAAGTTTACACCAAAGGCTACTTCATTCCAATTCATAATAAATTGAAAGCTGGAGTGTTTTCAACCTTCCAGGCGACATAACCATGCCAGCTTAGCAACCTTCTCTTTATTCGCTAAATTATGCCGATTTCGAAGTATATACCATACAAATCATCGTTCCAGCTCCTGCGATATTCACTGTAGCCAATGTGAAGCCATAAATTTTTGGAGCAATCATTCTCTTCAAAACTTCTAATACCGAATAATCCGATGTTATAGTTCGCGCTTCTGCTAGATAAAGTATGACGGGAATGATGAAAGGTTCGTATGATTTGTTCGTCGCGGGAGGACTTAACTTTTTGGCCACTCAGTTCAGTTGGCATAGTTAGAGGGGTTCTGTTCTGTTAAACGAAATTGTCAACGACATCAAAGCCATGACCATCAAGACTGTTTGTTTAATAACAGCAGAAATTTTGTTTTGTTCTTTTAGTCTAGAAAAAGCATTAACCGCGCCGTTATCGAGATACGACACACGCTCTAGTAGAAGATAAAAAATACTCTTTTTAGGTTTGCGGCTCTTAATGTTTTCTCCAGCTTAAAGTTGAAAAAATCACCATCGCCATAGATCGTCAAACTGACTGAAGCCTCGCTTAATACCGAACGGCTCGGAGAGGTCTTTCTCAATTCTCATGGCGCTTTTACTGTTAGTTAGGGATATCAAATAATGACATATTATTGATCCTTATCGTGCTATGGCAGGCGACACTTACTTTCAACACTTTTATGCATACATATTTTCAAACATCATCCTTTTAAGTATATTATATTGGATCTGAATATTTTCTAGTCTACATTTATGTTTTTAAATTGCATTGGACTCTCTGTGATTGGCAGTCTCTGATGTCCATCTGGATTACCGATTTCGGTACTCAATTTCTTTTTTTTTTTTTTGCATTCTGCAATGAAGCTGCTGTTTAAAAAATATAAGTTGAAGAAAACTCGCTTTAGCAGCTTTGTTATTATTTTTTATTTTTATTATTTTTTTTTTCTGTGTAGAATTGGTTTTTTTTTTTTTGTTTATATTGGTTTTCTTTAATCAAGTACAAGCCAGAAATGCTTAACAAACGCAACGATGACATTCCCTTTCGTTAAAAAAAAAATTAAAATTAAGTCAACGAAATGTTATCAAAAAAGTAATAAAATGAGTACCCTTAGAATGGCTCAAAACTTATCGTTAACGTTAATTTTAAAATGACTGAATGCTATAATATTAACAGCGCACTTCAATTTTAACGTTAACATTATCTGTTAACGTTTGAACTTCGTCTGTTAGCGTTTGAGCTTCATCTGTTAACGATTTAACATGAACTGCTAACGATTTAGCATTAACGACAGCTTATCATTTCCGTGAAAAACGAAGTGATTTGTATATTGATAACTCTTGTAACGTTAATATTTCCAAATCAAAGCAGTTGAAAATTTTCGATTGACGTGAAATTTATCGTTACGACGCAGCCTTGCTACAAACATACTCGTACATATCCCAAAATGAAGACTTATCCATAACATAAACTTTAAAACTACAAAATTGCTATTGTTTCTTTCTCAAAATGTAGGAAATAAATTTTGTAGGTATCTTATGTATGCATATTTAAAAATCATTTCCGCTTAATTCTGACAAAATTTTATCAACGAAAATGAATATAGAAGATAAAGAGCTTAAAATGTATTTTTTTATTTATTTCTTTTTTTTTGCAAAAAATTATCAAAAACTCTTTAAGTTTGTAGCAAAAATAAAATGATTATTTCCGTTTTCACATTTGATGAATTATATTCGCTCCAAAGTAGTTTTTTTTTTAATAAAAGTTTCAACAAATTCGCCACTCTTCCATACAATACAAATATGTGCTCATTATATTATATACACATGTACATACATATGATTATTGCAGTATAATTAAAAAGAGCAAATATTCTCATATGAAGTCATGAACAAATATATTCATGAAAACCAAAGAAATAAATTAAAAAAAAAAATAATAGTTTATTAAAAAAAATGTCTTGGCTCACTCTTCGTGCTGTTGTTGTTGTGTTGTGCTAATTACATGAGCGCTGCCGATGGCGTTGGTAACCTTGTGCGGCAGATGAACAAGTGCAAGTTATTAAATGAAAATTTTACATACTTTTGTCTTTTTGATTATTGTTAGTGTTGTGTGTTGTTGTTTCTATTGTTTTGTGTGTCGAACTTTTACTGAAACTACTCACATTACAACGACACCAACGAAACAATGGGATGGGTGGGTAGAGGCAGAGCAGTAGCTGTAGCTTATACGAAGAGAAGTTGAAAATGTTGGAAAAATATTTGAAACCACAAACTAATTTACATATTTATGCACAAATTTTTATTTGCTTAAAAGCAAACAAAACACAGGGTGACTCCAATTTTTCCAACTGTACATGTACAGAGCTGTTGTTAGAACTTACAGTACGGTACGTACAGTCATCTCTCACCCGGAGCATTGCCTCAGTTTTTCGTTCGCATGACCGACAGTAAAATGACATAAACACTAGTCAATGACTCATTTATTAACTCATTTACATACATATACACTTTCATTCATTTTTTTTTTTTAAATTCAATTTGAAATCAATACCACCAACAGCATCACTCTTATATATATATGTATGCCTTTGTTTCTTACTTACAGAAATTGGAACAAGAAAAACATGTTTTACGTCAAAAACTCGCCATTGCCGAGGAGGAGAGCGATCAACGTGTGCTCGAATTGCAATCTGATCTCAATGAACTTAAAGATAAATTACAAGCACAAGAGAATGCAATACGTCAAGCGGAAAAGGAGAAGACAATACTAATCGATGAGTTGACACATCAGAACACGCGCCTCACTGAGCAGATACAGGAAGCGCGCGCCACCGAACTGAAACTAATGTCGCAGATACAGGAACTTAAGGATCAGTACAATTACAGGAATACCAGTTTGCAGGTATGTAAATTCGAAGGATGTGTGATTATGTAAAACTTTTTTGTCTTCGAAAAAATACAAAATAAAAAATAGTAGGAAAAACTAGATGTGATAATTAAGTAATGATCCATCCCCTGCAAAGTAATCCCCAGCGCGTTTTCCATGCTTCGTAACATCCCTGGAACAATTCGATTGAGATGTCCGCGAGTACCCTGGTCACGGATTTCCTTAATCGACTCAAAAAGGGGTTCCTTTGACAACTGATTTTGTTGTAGGGAACAAAAAACTTACAGGCTCACCTGGCGATCCCTTTAGAGGCCAAATACGGGCATACGCTGAGGGCGGTGTGGCACGGCGCATTGTCGTGATGAAGGATCCTTATTCGTTCAAACGTAGCTAAGGGGGACACGTTATGGCTTATGTGTGGCATCTTACGCTCAGATCCATAGCCTGCCCATTCATTTGAGGTATTCTACTTGCTTTTGCTACTGTTTCACATAATTGTCGTAAACAGCCCTGGGAATCGTATATCTCAGCCAATGAATCAAACAGACGACTGATCTTTTTGTTGCTGTTATATTGTAACAGTTCGGAGTAGGCAAACTAGTCTTGCCATCTTTCGACGGGTTGGAAACAAAGGCCATGGCTCGTTGGTTAAATTGGTTTTAAGGGCCATGAAAAAATGTGATTAATGTCGTGAGGAGGCTTATGCTGGGCGTACCTCATGTATATCGAGTCTACATTAATAGTAGTCTAGCTCAAGTCTAGCACACTTTACAGGCTTCAATTCCAGCATGTACCACGAAGCAGCTCAAGCTCCTCGTCTGCAGTTGATGCTGACGGAAATCTGGTGACACCATTCATGGTAAGAGATTTAACAAAGTATTAGCCGTCTCCCCGTAAATGACGTTCCAAGCTTGGCTTCAGCGCGGTATGTTTAGCTGTACGTTTGAGTATTGCTTGGTCGTCCTAACTGATATGCCTGGGGGATGTTTTAACTCTAAGCAGGTGCTGTAATCCCAAGAGTAGCAACATAGCAGATATTTCCGGCAAAACAAACCATTATGTATCTTCGAAAAAAGTCGTCGGCGTCCAGATCGGAGCGTGGTAATTTTAAGCTGGCCGGCCAATAGGCTTGTTTTTCTCTCCATCGCAGGTGCGGCAGGCTCGCGAATTGAGAACTTTGCGGCTCTTTTAGTGTAGGCTGTCGAATGTCAGTCCAATTCAAATTAATGCTGAACTTCTTCGCTCAGCTAGTGAAGAGGGTTGCATGTTCGTCTATGTTTGGCAGTGAGAAATGAGAAAGGTCGGAGAGGCAGCTATTTATCGATATCTTTTGAACTTTGTATTTATGACGTTGATCAGCTTAACTTGCTGAGAAATCTAAAGTTTTTATGCCCGGAAAGACTCCAAGTTTAACATTTTTTCCTTTTTATATCCTTCATTCCAATTCGACTTTTTGCCTCCCTCTTAAGTGGACATTTATGAGCTTTTTGGTTTAATCAATTTACTTCTCCTTTCAGGAACATGTACACAGTCTGGAGTCTATTAAATCCGAGTTGAACCTCACTACAGAAAAGCGCCATGATCTGGAAAAACGCTTACAGCACGCACAGGATGAGAAGGAAACGCTAACGTCAGCACTTGAAGAGGCTTCGGATAGAATACACATGCTGGAGAGACACGCACGCGAGCAGGAAACAAAATTAGAGGTAAGACTGATTAGAATTTTCTTCTTGTTATAATCCAATGATTTAAAAATATAATAAAATTCTAAAAAAAAAAAAAACTTATTCCTTTTATCATAGACAACACTGCAAGCACTAGAGAGATCTCAGCGTGAAAACAATGTACTTAGCGAGCGTCTGGGAGCGGTAAGTTTTAGTTAATTCGTTAAAAGAGTAAGAGTTTCTTTAACAAAATATCCCACTACAGGACGCCAACTCTAGCATACATGGCAAAAAGTCCTTGCAATTCGAAATGGAATGCGATGAGGATGACTCGAGTTTTTCAGATGGTAAACCTAGTCAAATATGCATTGAAGCGCGTTCGGTCTACATACAACTGAAATCGTTGGTAGATTCATTAAAAATTGGACATGATGATGACTCAGGTGGGACAAAACTAATAACTGAGAAAAGCATTGAAAAGAAAGTTCTTATTTACATAACTCCATATCTTATCCGCCCAGGTTTAAACTCAGACATATCACTAGACTTGGAATCCATGGATAATACAATGTCATCGTCCAGTCGCACCGAAGGTGTCAATCACACTGAGGCTATTGAATTTCGTGCCGGCATGCTGTCGGCCATGTCCGACGAATTGACACGTTTACTATTAAATCTGGATGCCGGCAACTTCAGAAAGATGCTCGATCAGACGCGTAATCTTGTGTTGGAGCAGGAAGATGAAATCAAACGTAGTCATCAATTGATACAGCAGCTGGAGTCGAAAGTAAGTATCTAATGTATTTATATGTTGCTGATTTAAATTCCCAACATTTATTTTCTCCCTCGCCGTTCTCAGCTCACCGTCACCGATGTCGAGTTGCAGAATGTGAAGGAGGAGCGCGATCAGGCGCGTGGCGATCTTGTCGACGATAGCGATCGCGATGAATTACTTGCTAAAGCACAAAAAGAACGTGATGCAGCGAATGAGCGACGCACAAAGGCCGAAATTGATTTGGCTAAAACACGTGTTGATTTAATGCAGGCCAATAGCCAATTGCTCGAGTCCATACAGCAGAAGGTTGAGTTGTCACAACAATTGGAACAGTGGCAGGTAAGTGAAATGTTCGCCAAGATCTTAGAGTAGCATTGCTATGTATAATCAGTCTAACGTTTCTAAACGAAGAACGTATTCCGTCTCTTCCGACAAGGGCATTTCTTGAGCAACTTTTCTCTGGTAGACGATTCATCTACTGAAAAAGTTTTACTCGACTATATTGAACTCTTTAATGGGCTGATGGCCTCATAATTAGCAGAATTCAAAAAGTTACAGTCTCTTTATATACAATAATGTTATTTCCTCCATTTAATTTCACTTTTAAGACAGGGGTTCAGTTTTCGGGAACGAAACTGACGGTTTACAACGCTGGAGTTCCAATGAAACAATGATCAAAACCACTCGTTCAGTAACTCACCCCACAAGATAATTGTCCAATTACCTACCATGAGCAAACGCGTACCCCCAAGTGCTCGCCCAATTCCTTGTCTCTTTGCGTGAGTAGACTTTAATGCACCTCTATCCAAACGAGAGTTGCGGCAATGAGTGCACAAAAAGTCTCACCCAACTTGAGTCAAAGAGGCCTTGCCTTTTCTATTAGCAGGGAGTTCATTTAAATGGCGTTTGGCCATCGGTATGAAGTCCATTTCGTCATCGGGAAGTACAATATCGTCTTCTATCTTCAAATTTCGACATATGATTCGGGTATTTCTGCCAGAAATCCGCAATCGGCTCTGAATTATTTCTTTCCGATCATTGTAGCGTTTAGCAAACGAAACTGTCTGCAATTACGGTACCCATAGATCTACTGCTCCTCATATTATTTACAGTGCGGCTGCTATAAAAAGAGATTATTTACAAATAGAGATGCCTCTTATCATATATAGTCGCCTGCTATACAAATGAACCTAGCATCAACTCGGCTATTGTCAAGACATGTGCGTTCAAAAGATTCTTCTGGCTCTGGGTAGACCGTTCAATTTCGGAGATCTTCTCCCTCGCCATAACTTTCCTTTTTTTTGTGTTTTGCTTCGGGTTCTGACAGCCCATTGTTTAATTGGTACCTATACAGTTAGGTTAAGAACACTTCTTCATAGAAGTCTTGTGTCTTCTTGATTTGCTTTGCTTCTTAGAGGATTCAAGTGGTAAGTATTATCAATCATATATCATATATCAGAACTGAAACCAGAGCCTGCCGTCTTTGTTATAGCTCAATCTAACCTAGCTCTTTTATAAAAAGTTCATCGCGGAGCATCCAATGCCCGAACCCGTAATCTTACAGTTTCACTTCGACTTCACTTCAGAATGCCGATGAGATCTGTAAACTTCTTCGCCATTCCGATATAGTTTCTTAACAATGCTTAATCAAGTGGATAGCTGACTATTGGTCTAGCTTTTGAGAGACACACCCTACCGAAAAAAGACTCACCTTCCCCTTAAAGTCGATAATAGAAAATAATCTGTTAAGGGACTTAAGAGAGTTTTCATATACGAGGTTGAATGAAAGGAACCCAAGTAAGGAGACCTACACTACTAGCCGCCAGCCGCCGTTGTATTCTTATGAGCAGCTATTTACAATACTTTATGTAAAAAATTCCTTCGAAGGTGACTTTACCTACCGCACAGCGGCTGCTTAAAAAAAAAACTTTCATTTTGGTTTAGGCTTGAATCCGTCTCCCAACAGACGTTGCTACCCACTCCAATGTAAACTACAGCGGCCAGCGCTGACAAGAATCATGTGGCGTTAAAGTTACAGGGCATTTCTCTTCTTAAGTAACCCCTGTAAACTCTATCAATGGTACCAACTAAAGCCAAATCCGTTTTCATGTGATTTTTTCTAACGGAGTGGAAGTGTGGTTCTTCTTCTGTCTTTTCTTATGGATAAGATATATTATTAGTTGACTTTTTGGCGGGGGGTAATTTTTTCGATTTCCCCGAACATCTGCTGTAACCATAGGGAACCCAAAAGCTATAATATTAAAAATGTTTATATTACTATATAATAAATTAAAAATCTCCTTTACATAGATGGATATGCAGGAGCTATTGGAGGATCAAATGCGCTCGAAGCTAATCAATAATCGCAAGGTGGCAACACCTGCGCCTGCCAGTACAAATACAAGTGCAGCGTCTGCATTGGCAAAACGTGTGTCCAATTATAAATTCTGGAGCTTATTTCAACGGTAAATTAAGCACACTTTGGAAAATCTACGCTACTATAATTATACTAATGTAAAAGTCTTTTAATAATATTATTATAATATTTTTTTTTATTTTTATGAATTTTTTTTTTTTTGCATAAAAGCAAAATACTTTTTTTTACATAATTATTTTTTAATATTTATATACATACATACATATATGTAAAGCATAAAGAAAATATTGTTTACCACTTAGCAAAATATTGTAACATATTTACATACATATGTACATATGTGTTGTAACATGAAATAGAGAAGGTATAAAAAGTAATTAATGCATTTTTATACATTTTGCTAGCGTAATGTGAAAAGTTAAAAAAAAAATTAATTAAAAAAATTTCAAATATATATACCTACTTTCTCTAAATGAAAAAGTAGACGCTGACTTTGTGTGGACATAAAATGCAAAAAAAAAATTTTTTTGGAAACCTGACTTAAAAAACCTTTGTGTTTCACCTACGCTTTATTTGTCTTATTTTTTCTTTAATAAAAAAAAATTACGCAAATTCAGCAAAAATGCACTAAATAATTATATTTTATTTGTTTATAAAAATACTTTCTTTATGAAAACTAAAAATATTAACCGTTATTCTTAAGTTGCAAGTTTAAAATGGGAAAACAAGCAATTTGAAATTGAAAAATAGTAGTGAAATAAAAAAGAAATAAACTTTAGCGCCCAAAAACACATATCACGGCAACATACATACATACATACAGTAGTAGAAATATGCAAAATTAGTAGCTACTGTTGAGCGGATATTTAAATTTAAAATACACTTATTGCTAATTGTTTGTTTTCGCATTTTTACACAAGAACTAATACACAACAGAAATTATATATAAATAGACATATATATGTATTATAAAAAATATAAAAATTAAAAAAAAATAATTAACTTCATTTTAATATTTTAGCAAAAAATATAAACAATTTAGATTAAATATTTCTACCACTTATACTGACATATACATACTTACGTACACATACATGTATATTATGTATGCAAAATAATTATATTAAGTCTCTTAAGTGCATTAAATAGTCACCATTAACATTTCACACAGCGTTGATGGTGATGTGATTGGTTAATTGATTGTTTTGATTAATTCGTTATAGTTGAAGGCGGCGATTGTGTGGAAATTAATAAGAAAAATAGACAAATAAAAAAAAAAAAAATACATCTATTTCATCATACATACATAAGCTTGTGTGTACCAAATATTTACATTTAATATTAAATTAAATTAAAAATCTGTAAACGCAAGAAAAAAAACCAAATTTGACAGTAATAAATATTGAAGAATGTTAAGCTTTAATTTCACATACTTGCCTTAATAACGCTGATAAAGAATCAAAATTTTTAAGTCAAAGTTGGTAACATACTTATTTAGAAAGCCAATAAAATTGTGCACACACTTTTACGTACTTTAAATTTGTGTAAAATTAATTAATAATACCATTTAAATACATACATACATACATACATATGTATAACTATTTTAATAAATACAACCATAAATGAATCTTATGATTTCAATAAAATAGAAAAACTAAATTTTTATGGTTTTTATTAATCATGGACAACTGAGGGAAGTAGTAACAGAGAACGCACATATTATTAAAAAGAAGGACCGGGGCGTGCCGATAGCCATTTGTTCCATCTACGGGATTGCTAAGAGACTATTTTACCTCTTTACGATATTAGTAAGAGAATATTTCACCGCTAGTTTACAGCGAACTACCACTGACTGATAAATTATCTACAGAAAAATGATATTTGGGAAACAATCATTTTATTAATTTATTAAACTATTATCTTACACAGAAATGTTGACAAACAGTCAATTTCTGACGACAATTTTGTGCTCTGACAGTACAGGAAGTACTTTTTATTGCGAAAATGCTAAATATAAATGTCACAAATGGAAAGAACAAGCCAATAACGAAAGCACATTCCAGACCACTAGTATCGAATATTCTGTGGTGTATCGTAAAAGCATGCCAGAAAGTTCTAGAATTGGATACAAACAACCGATGAGGTATATAAGAGAGCGGCTATTGCAACGCTAGTAAGTTACAAAGTGAGCTGATTGGTGACAACATCGCTGCAAAGTGAAAATAGTAGAGTGCGAAAGTCATAATATAATTCGTTGTATAAAGTAAAGCAAAATGTGATTTTTTGGGTAATAAGTAAACGTTGATTGGATTCTTTAGTGACTTTTATTTAACAATACAGTGATCGAACTCGAAGGATTTGGCAAATCATCGTGGCGTATTTAGTGAAAATCAAACACATTTTTTTCCATTTTCGGTTTATTTCATAAATTCACTCCAGAGCGATTTTCGTGCTAAAAGTCAAATAAGTGATCTTATAAGTGTGCTTTCAGAACTGGTCTGGTTCTACTATCAAACATTTATTCTCATCATGCTATTATGCAAAGTCCTCTCACAAAAAAAAAGAACGAAAGAACAAGCTCTGCAGATCGTTCATCATTATCATCCTGCTTTTTGCACGAACGATTTATGAACTTGCAATGAAACTACGAGGTATCTCAAACAGCATACGACGAAATTGACATACAATAATTTTCAAAAGAAGAGCAAGACGGACATAGTATACCTGGGCAAGGCCAATTCTTTAAATTTGGAACCAAAAGTGATGTGTTGCGAGGACTCAAAAATGCATTAGATGTTATTTTTGCATTATCTTTGGCTCTTTGGTTGAAAGGGCAGGATGAGAATCAGCTGTCAGAAGCTGTTTTAGCTTCTACCAACCATACGTGCCCACCTTCGTAAGGCTGAAGCATGGCGCATTCTGAAACGGGATGTTGTGCTTGTTGGTTCCACTTGCGGTGTTATGTCAGATATTGAGGTTCTGTTAATGCAATTTACTTTATATTCAACCGCTGGAAGTTGTTCAGTATCTTACGTGTTCCCTCATACTTTACTGCTTTAGATAACATTTGAAGGCTCTGAAGCGTCTGACACAGTCTATGGTGACAACCTGGTTAGCAGCGCCAATGCGAGCAAGTCTTTTCACTACCTTCTACATCTGTGTGGCCTGGAAACCAAATGATATTTACAGTGTTTTCACGTGTTTGTCCATTTATTTCCTCTTTGTGTTGGCACACGCCCTTCTAGAAACCTGACCTTTTTGCAACTCAAACTTTTAATTTGGCTTGGTTATTGCGGTGGCGGCAGAAGAATATTCAGTTTTGCCGAGGGACTTACTTTCTGCCCTTTCCTCCTGCTAGGAAGGAGTTAGTGGCTTGAACCTGGTGGCTTTGTGCATTCAACCTGATGAGTACAGTTATACAACACCATTTTGGCATAATGGCCCTTCTACCCAATTCTGCGCTGTTTTCGATTGTACTCTTCAGCCATTTTTTTTTATCAAAAATTATTCCGAGATGTTTAACCAGGTTGAAGGGTATTATGATATTTCCCCTTTCTGATAAATAGGCTGGCCTCAGTTTTCTCCATGCTTACATGAGGCTTCAAATGCAAGCTCTATTACCCGTAATCGACGATAGGGATGTTTGCTGAAAAATGGTATGCCCAGGTCATTCGCGTAGGTGAAAGTCGCTGGATAAGTTGATTTATCAAGGTAAGGTCACGTATGGTAAGGGATATGCTTTAGCATTCGATCAGGCATTATTACAGTCTCCCTCTACATTAAATCGCACGTTCTCGATGTCCAATTGATATCGCCAAGACGAAATATTACGCTGACGTGAAATTTCCCTCGCAATTCAGCGATATTCGCTCGCGCTGCGTAGCATTGTTGTGACCGCAAGTTGTCCCAGTCGTTTGCTTCAATCGCAGGACAAAGAAAGTCGGTTATTATACGACCACAGCGCTTCGAATTGATGGCGACAGGCTCGCTGTTCTCGTTTTCAATGGAATAAGGTCTAATCATACCTCCGGACCAAAGAGCATACCAGATGATAAGTTTTTTGGGTGTAATGGCCCGTCTTCAAACAATTGAAGATTCTCGATGACACAAGCTGCAAAAATTTCGTTTATTTACGTATTCTCCGAATAAGAAATGTGTCGCGCCGCCGTGAGTGTGACGTTATATTGATGTAGGTGTAAATTCCAGTGCAAAATGCGTCGTAGGAAAGTCCCAACTCTTGAGAACGTCGAGAAATAGACAGATTTAGGTCTTCGACTTCACCTTCACTTACAAAACGACGATGTACAGTCTTTACAATAGCTGAGAAGCTGTACGATTATTTACACCATAATCTTCTCTTAAAGCACGAAGCGTAGTTAAGTTTGAATCATAGTTTTTAGTAGGTGTTAACAGTTATTCCGCGTTGTGTGGCCTTTGACCGATTCATTTTTATTTATGGCTGACTTTTAACTGAAACGTTACATGTTAAATTTGACAGTTGTCAAAATACAAACCTGTATAATTGAAAAAACGAAATGAATAACCCTATATTAGCATATACAATATTTTCCATTTTCATGTATGATGAGCTTGCAAGTGTATAGTCCCCCTTAAGCCCGTTTCAATAAACCATACTGTCGATTCCTACACCTACTGTCCGCCAACTATTGAAATTGCACCAAGAAATCGAGAAAAAACCCTGTACCTGTCCTATCGCGAAGGCGTATTTTTCATCCTGTAGTGCCAGACCCCACTTTCGTTTCCCATCAGTGGGTGTATAATAAGGGGAATCAGTTTCATTTAAAGCTTCTTGTGTCATAAAATTTGTCAACTTACCATAAAATGATGAGTTCCCATCCAACATGATCAATAAATCATTTATTAAAATACAAATCATTTTATTCGTTTCATTTTAATTGTAAACTGAGTGCTAAATACGGTATATGGTATGTTTTATTGTATAAACTTATGAAGAATATTCTTGAAAATTAATTTTTATTTTTTGCCGACTCCTTTATGTTGAATTTTGGAACACGATCCTTGCGACCCAATATTTTCGTTGACGATTCATCCACATTTATATTGCTTATAACGGTATTTATGCGCCGTTCGATTACACCAACGAAAAGCTTTACATTATGTACCGTTAAGACAGTTTTCGAGCTCAATACATTCAAAATGGGAGCATCATCGCAAGATAGAACTCTGAGTGATAAGTGTGAAGAGAGGTAAAAAATTAAAGAAAATTTGAATTTTAATTTTTTTTTAGTTTAAAAAACTCACTTGAAAATCTCCAAAATGCCCTGCAACATTTGATCTAAGCGCGTATGGAGTGTTAATTTCCTTTCGCTGGCCTCTTGAGATGCCTGCTCAATCTTCTCCAATTCACTATTTAAATAATCCAAAGCCTCGGTTTTCTGTTTCAACTCTTTTTCTTCGTGCTCGGCCTTCTGACGCTCTTTACATAAACACAATAAATTACCACTCAAAAGATGTATAAAATATGATAAAAGACACTTACCAATCTCAGCACTCAACTCCTGAGTTGTCTCATTCAAGGCTTCTACTTCGTGACTTAACTCATTTACGTAATTGAAAAGTGCAAAGTTTTCCTCCTCCTGCCGTTTGAATTGTGCTGTCAAACTGTCCGTGTCTTCGACTGCATAGAGCTCTTTGATATCATCTATGATGGCATGATATTCCTCTAATTGTCTTTCATAGTTTTCTTTCAACGCCAGCTTCTTGTTGGCCTCACGTTGTTCCAACTCGGGATTGTAGCGCTTCTGACCTTTTATGTCGAAAAATTTCTGTAGCTTTGCATCGTGTTCGAGACGACGTTGCATTTCACGCATTTCCTAGTGGGGAGATGTGAAAATTAATATGATTTTTCTAAATTTTATTCTCAATGTTAAAAGGGAAGGAATGACGTAAGGCGATATGGCTCGATCGGGATTCGAAACACTGCCCGCCACACTGTCGTTTCTGGGTTGTGAAGGTGCAATCTCAGAGATTTGCCACAAAACTCACTATTTCTTGCTTTTCGCCTCATCTTGTAAAATACGTGGGAGGAAAGGGTCGCCAGGCACCAACTTCACGGTTCGCGATCCGCCTTCGAGCGCACGACATTGATCATATTTTATTTTGCTTTGTCTAAATCTGATATACCGCGAAACTGAAATGCTAAAAGATCCGTCGCGTAGTACACCCCTCTAAGCTTTATAATACTAAACGACGTTTCAGACGAGCTGTAGAGCTAAACAGGGAAGGTACAATTTTCTATAACTGCGTATACTTGCTGGCGTTTGCAAGATATTTTTTCAATCATGAGAACAAAAATGTCGGGCTATCTCACATGTTGGGGGCCCGGTCACCGTTGACAGTCAAAACTTTGCATTTGTGGACCATTTTATTTATTTAGAAACCAGCATCAAGAACAATATAAGGAATAAGCTGTAAAAATGACATCCTACAGGGTCAACAACTCCAACTAGATCTTCCTACTCTGGTAACCAAATTTTAGGAGAAGCTTCTGAGGTTTCAAATACCAACGCACAACTGCCAACGGGCCATTCCTGATCCAAGTTTTGCTTGATAATTTTGAGCCGCGTTGGATATCTTAAACTTAGTACTCGGAATGTTCAGTCGACACTAAAAAACATTCTTAGACCAAGCGACTTCTGCAACTGTTTCATTTTGTCTGAGCTCGAAGACACTTAGCATTATGCACATGAGTAGCGTTATATGGATACTCATAGTTCCAAAAATTGTGTAAGAATATTTCACTAGGCGAAAGAAAGAACACCAAAGGATGCTCTATGTTGGCGCGCTTCCTAGAGGCTGAACAGTAATGTCTGCCAAAATCTTATAGCCTCCGTTGTCGGATCTTAATACCGGCATAACCGAGATTTTCTTCTATTGTATTTCAAAGCTGTCGCTCCCTCAAACATATCTCAAAATCTATTTGAAGAAATCTTTTGTGTTTACAATAACAACATCAAAGGATATATGTGAATCGAAAAAAGTAGTAAAATTCTTCAGCTGATCTTCTCGTCATCTTAATTGGCTTGGCACCGCTTACGCGATTATAACCGAGTTACGAACAGTGCGCCAATCGCACATGATCTCCTCAGGAATGAATAATTTTCCCCTGCTTTGCTTCCACCAACAGGTAAAATACGTTAAAATTTTTCAATACTGGAATGTTTTCGCCCATACGACCTACATGAGTGACAGTCATGACTTTAACTATATCTCGTGCGGTCCGGTCTGCACCATATAGCAAGGCTGAAAAAATTGGCGATTTGCCTATACCATTTTGGGTTTAATTCGAGGAGAGAAAATTACGTTTGGAGGCGGCTTAAAATGATCTAGTGCTCTTGATACAAATTGGAAATTTACTTGCGTTTTATAGTTTAGTATGAATCCACCTCCCTTACCTGAATATGCATGATTTTATCATTCTCGCTACGATCCTTCAAGACTTGTAGTTTATTGCAAAGTTCCTCACGTAAATCAAATGCCACTGTGGACTGATCTATCAATTCCATTATATATTTCTTACCCTCATTGAATTGAGTAACCATGGACTGCCACATTTCGTTGAAGTTAGAGCTAAAATGTGCAGGCTTTTTAAATTGGAGTTTACGTGTATGTGGACCTTGTGCAATGACTTACCGATCTTGCAACATATGATTGATAGAGTGACGTAGTTTACAATTCTCAGTCAAAACATCGCTGCACTTTTTATTAACCACATCCAAGCGGTTCTCCAACTTAACCACACTTTTCTGGACTTTGCCGATACTTTCTTTATAACAACTATCGGTTACTTCATTCTTACGCAATGCTTCGATCTCCTTCTCCACCTAATGCATAATATAAATATTATATGCACATACATATTTATGTATATAATATAAAGGGTAGTTTTTTAGACCTGGGGTATTTAAGTTATATAAAAGGTTTTATCCTGAATAATTGAGGGATCCACCCACAGCAAAAAATCATTAATCATAGAGACCTCAAAGTGTTTATTCTGCGTATGCGATACGAATGAATTTTACGGAAAATCAGAATACAGAAGTTGCTCTGAGTCTAAATTAATATGGGGAATACTTTTTTTCCTTCGGGAAGTGGGCCTTCAGACAATATACTCGAAAATATGGTATTATACATATTTCGATTCACATTAACGTCGGTTTTTTTATGAGGAGGGGTTGGCATTCCCAGCCGAGAACGCTCTTTGCCTAGACTAATAAGTGGAAAACGTCGTGGGCTTATGGCCTGGACGGTAAAATCGTACAATTTGACATCGCTGAAATATTTTTTGACTGGGAAGAGAGTATTTTAGCGCGGCAATGCCTCAATTCCTACAAGAAGTGGTCGAAAATTGAGACTCTCGGCTGATATTCATTCGATCCAGGCGCGACGGTCACCTGCACAAAATGCTTTTGTTACCTGCTGACGTTAACGAAGCTAGATAGCCGAAAGCATGACAGCACTTGGCCAGATAACATCCGCATCAAGTCCGGAGCGTAGGACCGGCTTTTTTTTAGAGCATCACTTGCACAGTGAAGCGACTATGCCACAAGTTGAGGAGCATAATGCTTTGCTGTTAAAGGAATTTCTGCTGGGATGTTAACGTATCGAGCCCCCCACAGACATTTTTTAGCAACCGTACCACCACACAGGCGCAACACAAAGAAGGTACTTGACCTAATGTACATGGACTGCAGCACCACCTACAACAACCCATGCACAAAATGGCGTACCTAAAGGCATTAAACTCTATTCGTCGAGAGTCTGTCAACACTTTTATGAACTCTCTTCCTGCGTGTGGCGTTCACGGAGTCAAACCACCACGCATGGCATACGAAGAGCTCGAGCTGCCTCGAGAGTTCCGCATAACACTGGTCTGGATATTGTAATAGGTTTAACTTCTACTTATCTAGACTTGACCCCGAGATGTCTAAGAAGTACCCTGCTTGCAATGAGGCCCGCATGGCAATAACCAGCTACTTGCGTGTCCCCTAAAACCAATTCATCTAAGGGGGGTTAGATCCGGTCCGAATCAGTTGGAATACATCGTTTCCTGGAACTTACGTTAGATGATCTCGATGAGTGGTTTACTAGCTCTTAAGCAGGGCTGGTAGCCCGCTACAACAAAAACAAAAAAATGGCTTTTAAGTTAAACTCTTGGTAATAACTTAAATTATACTCGTATGTAAGTTTTATTTTTTCTTGAAATCCACACATCTAAAAAGGACATCCCTTTTATGTACATATGGTTCAAAACTCTTTGAAAACTACCCACCTTCTTGATATGTCCTTCCAGTTCCCACAGTTTGACTCGTTCGCCTTGTAAAACTTGTTGCAGCTCGATATTTTGCCTCTGAAGAAAGCTCAAGCGTTTTTCCTTCTATCGGCCGATAGTTGGGAAACAATAAGAGAGGAGAATATTTCAAAAGACTTTTGAGGTTAAATTTGATTTTTGACAATTCAAATTATTAAAAAACTTTAATAAAATAATCAATTTAAAATAAATCTTCTGTTCTTCTGGTGTTTAACGTTATTACATTTGTATTTTTCCTTGCGTGCGTTCCACCCTCCAGTGTGTTAATCTCATCCTTCAACTTTTGATGCTCTTGCTGCAAAACCGTTATCATATGATTTTGTTTCTTTAATTGCTTAGACTTCTCTTCTAACAAACTACGAAGCTCCAATTGCAGCGAGCGATGTTGTCGTTGCAGTCTCTCCAATTCAGCTGCAGCCAATTGGTCCAGCTCATTTTGATCGGTCATAACTTTTTATTAATTTATTTAAAATATGATTCTTTGGTCAAACTGAAGTGGTTTTTAGCCTTAAATGTTTTACTTAATTTTTTATTTACTCACAATAAACATCAAAGAGCCAAGGCAACGAAACAGTTTAATATTACCAAGCAACAGCAGCAACAGGTCTAAAATCATCCATAATCGGCAACAGGTTATATTCAAAGAACTAAATATTTATTTCGATTGGCTTCAAGCTAATTGCTAACGACAATGTGCGACCGAGAAAATTCCTTTCTCTGTCTTCTGCCAGGTGCAAGCGTAAGGCGAGGCCATAGGTAGTACTGCAGATATCCTCCACTATACTGATTGCTCTGGATGAGTGGTAGGCACAAGAGCAAGGTTCTGCTGTAGTCACCTCAATAGACAAGACAAGCTTCAAGCTAAATTACTACAACACTGTCTTCTAAACAGAGATCGTGTACGTTACTGAAGGCGCCGAAAGGGTATCAACAAAAATTCTATCAGGTTTCTTGAAGACAGCTCAGCGCCAATTAAGACCAATGCAAGTAGGACACAGGAATGCAAAAGGTAATGAAGTGGCGAATGAGCTAGTACACGCTGGCGATGCTGGCACCATCGATTGCCTCAGTACTTGAGGTTCTAGAGCAATTTGAAAGTGAAGCTTGTCAATAAACAACTGTAGGGTAGTGCAGATTGTGAACAAATCAAGCTCTTGCCAGCACTTAGCAAAAGATGGTGCATCTACCTCTACGATATCATCTCAATCAGTATTTTGTATAGCCGCACAGACCAGGACCTTTGCGGAAGCTCGATATTTACCCGATTGATACGTGAAATCTTCAACGGTGCTTCGCGCTACACCCTTCTAGTAATAGGTGCGCATGAGTGAAAGAAATTGAAACTGTTCGCAAAAGTATAATTGGGATAAGCAGGGGAGCGCCATAAGCGTTCTCAACGGTTTAGGTGCGGCCCCCACCGGCGTAGTCCTTAACATCCCAACCTACTAACATAGGGTCTACCATCTGCCAAATTTTTTAGTGCTTTTCAACCACTATGCTTATTTTAATGCTCTTTTTGCAACATTTGGCTTTTACCAGGCAGCTCCCTCATTTCTTGAATATCGGGGTCAAAACCTTAAAAATATTAAGCAAGGTGAACCAAAGGATGATGTTTTCTCCCCGCTATTGCTTAATTTTATGACCAAAATAGTCATAACCTTTACTCGAAGGTAAATTACTATCTCCCCGGCTTCCTCGGACTATTCTTCAGTGCACGCCACTATAACTAAAACTAGCGAAATGCTCGGCCAATCTTCTCAACAGATGGACGAATGAGTACTGATTCGATCTGAATGTAAAGCTGGCCACGTCGAAATTCCGACAATGCACAAAGCAAAGTTGCTCGAAAGCACATCTGACTGCGTATTCCTCAACGAAATCCTCAAATCGCTAAATTGCGTATTTGGAACCAACACTTGGAAGGCAAAAGAGAACCGCCACCAAGCCACAGGAAGGTAGTAATTGATCTAAGGGAAACATTCAGTACTCGTTTAGACAGCTTTTAGAAAGGTCTTGTCAAATTTAAAGAGAAAGAATGTTGGGTTCCTGCCAATGTATGTTGGTCTATTGAGTAAACTTTCTATTGAATAAACTGCAATTCTAAAAAAAATTGATCCATGTCATGCTTACCCTGTATATTCAATCAGCTGATGAAAATGAATAAGTAAAACATGTTTACATTCATTCCAGAATCTGTCAGATGTTCATCCACAAAGCTGATGAGAGGTTATGTAAAAAATTAATAACAAAGTTGAAAAGAATATAAAAGTCTCACATAAATTCAGATTACTAATTTAAAATGGTATCTCCAACGCTTGCATTATTTGTGCGCTCAAAGGGTCCTGATGAGTTCTGGCGTAAAAGAAGAATATTCAAACTAGCAGCTGTAGGTATATGTATATAAATTCAATGACCGCTCTTAATAATCTCTTGTACCTAAACAGCACTTCCGTGGAAGGAAACGTAATTGCTATTCCATAGCTGTGCGCTATGTGCACCGTGCTTTGGTATATGCCACAAAAGGCCGTAAATTAAAGAAAATGGATATGGCAGAGGTGAGTGGGACATGTTTCTAGCTAAGAAAATTTACTTAGTCGATTAATATTTATTATAATATTATAGTTATGGAGCAGACGTGTTCAAGCCGGTTGCGAACAATACGGTATTACACTTGATACATTCAAGGATACCTTGACCCGAAACAACATTCTTTTAAATAAGTATGGAACACAATATTATATATCACAGCGTCTATATTAATATCGAATTGATTTTACAGAAAATCTTTATCTGATCTCGCTATTTGGGAACCAAAGTCATTCGAAGCATTAGTTAAATTATCAAGAGAACGTGCGGTTGTAGATTCATTGCCCGGACTTACTGAGCGATCGGTAATGAACCAAGTTTATGGCTTAGCCAATTTAAAATTAGATAAGTAAATAATTTCTAGTACACAAAATATCTGTACAAAGCTTTACAATTACATATTAAACCAAATTTTTCAGAAACAAAGCGTAAAACCGTTTTATTTTCAATTTCTTTTGAAATATACTAACCCGTTTACAAGATCGCACAATTTGTGATCTTTCGTAAACTTGTCTACATAATAGTAAATGGAATTTACAAGCTAAGAAACAAACTTAATGACCCCTTTATCGTCAGCATCTTGAGGTCACAAACTATTCACATATGAACATGACAATTCAACAATAGAAAATATATTTCGAAAATTCTATTCCAGTTTAGCAAGAATGTCTGATTCACGGAAGAGGATGTATTCCTTCTTGTCTTCCAATTCTACTCTGGTGCCACCAAATTCAGGCAATAAGACACGATCTCCTTCCTTAACACCCACGGGGATGTAGTTACCGCTTTGCTGTTAGAAAGAATCAAAAACATTAAATATTAAAATTATATGCATTTGAAGGGTACAAAGTTCAACTTACTGGATTTCTGGCGCCTGGCCCCACAGCAACTACGGTACCTTGCAAAACTTTGCCGACCGATTTCTCTGGAAGAACAATACCTCCCTTTGTAGTGGTCGCAGCCTCCGCACGTTGAATTAGAATGCGGTCCAACATAGGTAAAATCCTCTTAATAGCTTGAGCCTATAAATAAATGGAACGACTTTTAATAACTTTTTTGAAATATGTATTCTTCGATTTGTTTCCATGTTATACAACAGCCATGTGTCAAGCTACAACTGTGAAGCAGCTTGCCGGTTGTAGAAACATCGAGAACGATTGCATTCAACATTTTTTTATTGACACTATCTTTTTAGAAATTATATGCAAATTAAGAGATTTGTATACTAACCATTGTATTTGTTTATTTTATGAAGTTTTAAATGCACAATAAGTCTAAAAAACAGGAAAATATTCCTTTGTTCGCTGGTTTAATGAAAATCAAAAACTTGCGCAGACACGTGCAGCACGTATTACTTCGACTAATCAGAATTTGATAATGAATTGATGAACATTAAGCTACAATTCTGATTGGGAAAGGCATCCCTGTGAATGTACTGCCAAAGTTCAAATATAGAAAAGATTTTGACATTTACCAATAAGGGATATTCACTCAACAATTGTTGCATTGTTATAAAATTGTCGATTCTGGGATATATATAAATTTTTTTTATACAGAACGGTGGTTTTAGAAAAATTGATAAGAAATAAAATATATGACCTCAATTTTTTATTAAATCATTTGTGACTCAGTGGCGCAATTTCCAGGAAAGTTTAGTGTTTTTCTTGTAAATAGAAGATAATGCCATTTGGAGCCAATCTGTCTGATATTGCAATAATAAAATTAGATAACCACGAAAGAAGCCTTTAAGATGGATAGACATTCTCATGGCTGAATTGGAACTAGAAATCTAATTAATTCTTGTTTCACTATTATGCAAAAATATAGAAAAATATTTTAATATTTGATGCCCTTCGTTGTCTATATGGCATCCCAGAAAATCTGGCAACTTACGCCTACAGCTGTTGTTTTGTTTATTTGCAAATTGTGTATAATTTCCTTACTTTCTGTGATTAAAAATTCTTTATTCCATTTGCACATATGAAAATTAAAATTCATTCAAAATATATACAGCACAAATAAGACGTAACATTCAAGGTGGGTGAATCCATAATTGTGCTAAATTTAACGATGACGAATAGCGGACAGCGGACAGTACCCATGGAAACTAAACTGTGCCATGAAGGTCGCTTGAGTTTATATTGCTATTTAATCACGGGTCTGGTTGTGCTTTTGGCCACGGTGCCACAGATCTATTATGGTACGGTGCCAGATATATGGGGTGCTGCTATGTGGGGACCAGTATTGTACTATGCTCTAATCAATATGGTAATACGTTATTTATTGCGCGACAATGATTACCAAGTAAGTAATACAGTTTCTTACATATGTAAGGAACGTTTTTTTTTTGTTAAATACCTTTTCAAATTCTATTCGCAGATTGCTATACGCTCGTCGTTTTTAGGCTTTATTGAAGCAGCCAGCATACTTGTCATTTTGTTTGCCCCAGACGTATTTAAGCAATTCGGCGTTTACGCATTCTTCATGGCATTTTTTCATTACTCAGAATTCCTTGCCATTGCGTGGTGCAATCCAAATAGTCTTTCCACTGATTCATTTATTCTAAATCACTCCATACACTATGCTTTGGCGGCAATAACTAGTTGGATTGAATTCGGTTTGGAAGTATGGTTGTTACCAGAGTTCAAGAGCTACTATTACATATGGCTAGTCGGTGTTGTGCTATGCACAATTGGTGAAATTATCAGAAAAATAGCAATGATTACAGCACGCAATAGTTTTACACATTTGGTGAGTTATACTTAACTGAATTATATATATATATATGCGGGTGTAAAGCAAAGTTGCCATATCTTAACAGGTGCAATGTGAAAAAGCAGATAATCACAAATTAATAACACATGGCATATACGCATATATGCGTCATCCATCGTATGTGGGCTGGTTCTGGTGGTCGGTGGGCACACAAATAATTCTGCTCAATCCAGTTTGCATACTCATTTATGCTATAGTGTCGTGGAAGTTCTTCCACGATCGTATTTTCATGGAAGAAATTACATTATTGAATTTTTTTCGTTCCGATTATTATAAATATCAACAACAAGTCCCAACAGGGCTGCCATTTATTAAAGGTTATCTGGTTGATTAATTGGCTGTAATGAATTGAAATGTAAGAGGTGGAGTCGTGTCAAAGTGCTGTGCATTTAAATGAAAATGATTGAAGCAAACTTCCCACAAATTCTGTTTATATATAGGTGATTTTAAGTATTTAAATAACTAGTTCTATAGATATTAAAAGTGTTGTAGTATTAAGATGTTTATTTATGTAAAAAAAATCTGCATTAAAAGTTAAAGAACTAATTTATTTCCTTCAGGGACTATAGTTTAATATAATATTGTATAATAAAACTTTCAATCTCAAAATAAAAACTTAATTAACAAAGTTTATTGTGTCTTTTCTATTATTTGGGTAACTCAGTTGCGCTTATACTGTATATACTTTATAATTTCGTATACCATAACCTCAAACTTTGAATGCCAAACTGATAATATATCTTTGCGTTGTATTATGGCTGGTCTTAAAGTATTAAAAAAATGGGAAAAATGCTTTTCTATATATGTTTTTTTTTTGTGACCTACTCATGTTTGAAAATAATAGGAATACTTACCTTGTAAGTACTTATTTTTTCATTTCTAATTTTTAAATATTTTTGTATATAATAATTAAAATATAATTGCTCTTTAATTTTTATAAAAATCATAATATATTTTATTTTATTAAATACATACATTTACTCATTAACATGACATTATAATTAAATTTGCTGATAAACACATTTGCATTTACATATAACACAATTTCATTTGTATTTTAGTTTATTATACCGCATTTTTTTGCATTTATTTATAATGAAAATAAATTAAAAACTATAAAATTAGGCGCATAAAGTGAATACTAACTGATATTTGTTGGAAATAAAATAGTTTTTAGTGTAATGTGTGAAGGCATTACAAATATGCGCAGAGTTTAAAAAAAAATTGAGTTGTTTAAATATTAAATTAGCTTTTGGTGCGTTTGAAACCACGCATTTAATATGCACATTTGTATTATATATATATACATATATGTTTGCATTTCAAGCAAACTAAATTTAAATTTCTATTATTGTTTTTTTTTTTTTGAGTAATATGAGTGAGTTACACAAGAAAAAATGTATTAAAATTTTAAATTATTAAAAAGAAACATTAAAAAATGCAATTAGTATGGGTATACATATTTGTATGTATGTATGTATGTACGCATATGTCAATATTTATTTTAAATGCGTTTTTTAGGTTTACGTTTTCTACATTACAGTTTTTTTTTGTGTCTTTTTGTATTTTTTATTCATTTTATTTTCAGGTTAGTTTTAGTTTTTTTAGGTTATTTGTATTTTTTTTTTTGATTTATTTATTTTTTTTTTGTAAACTTTAATATGCTTTTTTCTGGGCGTGTAACTACGGTGGTCGTATAATGCTAATACAGTTTTTGAAAACCTCAACATTTTTAGTACATTTTGTTTTTTCATTTTCCAACAACTTTGCTTACTTTATACATACAAATGCACGCACTGATAAAAATATATTTTTCCTTTTGCGCTGCCTTTTAACTTTCTAACGTAAAACTGACAACATAGTAAATTTTTACAACATTTTTATTTTTCAAATATTTCATGTATTTGATTATATAGTTTGCTTTTTTCTAGGATATTTTCATGACCTTCAGTCTTCTCTGTTAGTTTATTTACTTGTATGCCAACTTTTCTGCATTTACAGCAACAAAATTTTATTATTATTTTTATTTTATTTTTTTTTATTTTTTATTTTTTTAGAAATATTGATAATAAGTTTAGTTTTTTTAGTATGAAAAAAAAAAATGAAAAAAAAGATAATAAATAAAAATTAAAAGAAAAATATGAAAGAATTGAACATTCAAATTAATAAATGAAAACACTTTTGAATTTTTTAATTTGTTGCCAAAATATTTTTTTTATATTTTTTTTTGTTTTTAATTGGCCTTGTGTGTGTTATGAATTTATTGAATTATTTTTATATACCAAAAAAAATTGTTGAATTTAAAATCTCATGCAATTTTTTTTCCAGAAAGATTTGCGGTGTACCCCAAAATTTTGTTTCCCTAAAATACACAATCAAATCTACATATATAACCTTCTTTCCATTATATCGAACCCCCCAAAAAGTTTACTTGCCTTGAGCCCCGCAAGTTGAATTTTCTTTTTATTTAATTTATATTATGATTTTTTTTTTAATAAAACTAAAAATTTTTATGTGTAGCATTAAAATGTTGATTTTTTTTTTCGTAAAATTGTATTTTCCTAAAAACAAGTGAGTATACAAATTATTTTTGTTTTTAATTTTAATTTAAGCAAAATAACACATTGTAAAATTTTTGCACACAAATACATTAATAAATATTTTAAAACAATTCGATTACTAAGAGCGAAAATACAAATTAAAAAATAATTTAAAATAATGTGTACAAATGCAAGTTACGCTAAAACATGTCTAAAATAATAACAATTACAATGCTATTCGCTTATATATGTAAGTATGTATGTACAACACTAAATTATAAATTCTCTTTTTGCAGAATTAGTGGTGCACGCAAAGATTTTGCAGAAATCAAAAAAAAAAAAAATAAATAAATAAATTATTTTTTTAATTTTCTTTCGCCATTGCGCATGCGCTCTTTCGCTGCTGCTTAAATTCTACGCTTAATTATAACAGAGTCTATAGATATGCTATACATATGTATATATGCATCTATGTTTTTATGTATCTATGTATGTGTTCATGTATGATGCATATTATGTATAATTAGTAACTAAATTTATGTAATACTTTTCTAACTTAATAAATAAAACAAAAAAATTAGAAAAGTATTAATACATGCAACGCACATTTCCATTTTCCAATCCAGCCTGCTGACGTGTATACGACATACATATGTATGTATATAACGCATGCTAAACGAAATTATTTCGCGCTTCTTCTGCATCTTCTTCTTCTACTTGTGGTTTATTTTTTTTTTGTTTTTTGATAAATATGACTTTTGAAATTATGCAATGCTGCAACTCTGCCGTTCTTCATCTCTCCTTCTCTGCCACTCTCTTTCCGACTTCATTTAAACGGCGCCATTTGGCGTTGCTGGCGTTGTATTATTCGGCTTCTTGCCTTCCAACTCCGCTTGAATCTCATTCAAACTCTTACCCTTCGTCTCGGGCACAACGAAGTAAACAAAGAATACACCAACAATAATAATGCTAGCGAATAGCCAGAATGTCTGACCTTTACCAATCGAATCGGTTAAATTCACAAATGTCTTCGTCACAATGAAGGCCAACGTCCAGTTGGTTGTACCAGCAATGGAACCAGCGACACCCTTTATATCAGCAGCAAATACTTCACCCATCATCAACCATGGCACTGGACCGAAACCGATGGAGAAGAGTACAATGAAAACGCACAAACTGACAACGGGCAACCAACCGAGATTGGCTACAGATTGTTCATCCTGATCCTGCATGTAGAAGTAGACGCCCATCGAAATGAGTGAGAGCGCCATGATGATAGCGGAGGTGAGCAACAGCAGACGGCGGCCAAGTTTGTCCACCACAATGGTTGATAAGAAGGTAGCGATGAATTGCATGATGCCAACGACAATAGTTGAGAGATTTGCATCAATACCGGTGTTGGCGTCCTGTGGAAGGGGAAAAGTGATTAAAAATTTTTTTTTATTAATTAATTAATAAAAATTAAAAGCATGTGTGTAAGAATGTATTATAAATAAAAAAAATAAATAAATAAAAATAAATTATAAGCGCTAATCTCAACACCATTACTGCATTTGGGAGAACTATGCACACATTTGAGGTTAGGTTAAACTTTAAGTTTAAGCCTGACAAGTTTTTTTCAGTTTACTTTAAAGCCTTTGAAATGATTTTCGGCCGAGGTACCCCTACCGGGTGGGGGTTCAAGAATTTCCCCGATGTAATGTATAACTGTCGCGACAGTCGGTTATTTATACCGGAACAAACCAGATTTTTATCAGGCCAAGGGCTGTCCCTCCCGAACATTCCCCAAAAACTATTTGGGGGATATACAACAACACAAACCTAAAGCTTTTTCTAAAACATCACCGGACGTCTGATAAATTTTTATGAGGAGCTTTTTTTAAGGTCAGAAAAGCACTCAGAGCGGTTTTCATTTTCTGTCGAAGGGTGACCACAATAAATTTTTTTTTGTATTTTGCATGTTGGTTTATACAGGACTAGTTCAAAGAAGGCAGAGAGAGAGAGGGAGGGACAGAGAGAGAGAGAGAGAGAGAGGGGGGGCAGAGAGAGAGAGAGAGAGAGAGAGAGAAATTATACAAAGCCTCTTTATTCTCGGTTTAGTTATGAGAGTTATGAGTTTGCGTTCCAATAGAAGTTTGTTGAGGATGGAATAATAATAATAATTTTTTTCTACTTTTATAAGCCAAAGACGGTGTCGAAGAGCGTATGCCGCCAAAAGTAACTAATAAAATATTCCTTTCCTTCACAAATTGTTATTATCTAAGGGCCTGTGAGAATTTATAGAAACGTTCTTTGAGCTTTTTCGAAGATGACATTTCTGCTGTCATTCGTAACTTTTTACTGGCAGACAGTTGCTTGTAAGCAATTATATAAAAAAATATGTTAGGAGAACACATTTCAAGTCTTCTACAATAGAAAGTTATGCACCTTTAGGGCGGAAGAATCCTCAAAAATATGATTTTAACAACAGAAAGAACGAAAGCTCAGGTGGAGCTCAGGATTTTATTCACCTCATCGCCAAAAAAACTACTATTCTATCATACATAAGCTATGCATATATGCACAAATATCACATTTTTTAAGCTCTCTCACTCGCTAGTATAGATGTACATATATTTTGTTAATCACATTTCCCAACTGCAAATACTAACCTCAAAAATTTTCGCAGAGTAGAAGATGACAGCGTTAATACCGCACAATTGCTGGAAGAACATGAGACCCAAGCTGACAAATAAAGCCTTGCGTGTAACGGGACGTGACAGACCGACCATCCATGATACTTGATTTTCCTTAATTTTTTCCTGAGTCTCGCGCAATTCTTCAACTTCGGCCTTATATTCATAGTCCTTGCCACGTAACCATTGTATGGATTTGATAGCATCTTCATCTTTATTTTTGATAATCTAAAAAAAAAAAACACACAAAGTAGACATACATACATATATTTATTTATTATATTGTTCATAAATATTGTCATCTTTTTACTTACCAAATAAGTTGGTGACTCCGGCATGAAAACGAATATTGCACCAAATACCAATGGTATCAAACCGCAAACAAGACTAATCCAAAATACATCGAGACCAGCTCCAATGGCATAGACAAACAATATACCAGCCGTTATCATGAGTTGAAAGAAGCTGCCAAGTGTGCCACGAATTTCCTTTTGCGCTATCTCACCGGTGTACATGGGTGCGGCAACACAGAATGCACCACCAGAGATACCCAACAGGAAACGTGCAATATACATCATAATAACATTTTGCGCCCAAATCAACATACACCAACCGATAGTGAAGGGTATCACCAATAATAACATGGCCATTTTACGTCCAATCAAATTGATGAGTATACCAATCGGTATGCAAACACATGCCGCACCCAATGTCATGGCCGAGCCGATCCATGAGAAGGCATCTTTGCTAATGTGAAAATCGTAGGCGCCTTGATTGATTTTCACCTCTGCTGGTGATGTCCAACCGAGCAGTGTACCGGCGGCGAAGGCACCACCGGCAGCTGATAAGGCGGCCACATATTGTGGTAGAGTCTTGGAATTGGACTGAGTTGCACCGTGCACCATACTGCTGCCGAGTAAATTCTCCTGATCCTGTGTGATGGAAAATATGTAGAGAAAAAAATTAAACTATTATTTCGGCAAGTCTTCTAAATGCCAGAGTAAAAGTGAAATGCTTATAAGTCGTTAAGTCTACTGTACCCCGATAGTCTTGTCTTGTATCAATTCATCAAAAACTGTCATTTGAGATACAATAAGATAAATATACGAGTATATATTGGGTGGTGAAGACCCCCTGCAACATAGCGCGTTATGTAGCGAACAAACATAAGATAACGGTAAAAATATTATGTGAGCTTTTTTATTTGGAAAATAAAAATTGACAATTTAATTATCTTCAACATTATTATTTGATTAATTATTGGTAGGGTGGAAATACAAACATATTTAGAGCCAAATATATCTATACTAGAGAGCTTATATCACACCTTGTCAAACGAGAGCTTTAAGCTTTGTCGTATGCTTAATGTATTAAAAACTTAGTAAATTAAATAAAAACTAAATCTAAGGAACACAATACGGCATTTTTTGCGGCATTTTTAGATAAGAAAGCTTTCATCATTTCATGACAATCGAAAGCTCAAAGTTTCAAAGTTTTTGAATTCAAGGTATATAGGAAAAGGAAAAAGTCTAGAAATCGTAGTAATGTATTTTTGTATTTCTACTTAAAGCTTTCTAACTGTAAGAGCTTTTACCACATAAAGCCAGCTTAATGTTTCGTTGAAATTAACGAACTAAAAAGTTAAAAGGAAATACTAAAAAAACACTGAGTCCCAAAGTAAAGCATTTTTTAGAGAGCTTGAAGTAAAAAAGCTTTCATCATATTTTGCCTAGCGTCAGCTCAAAACTTAATGGCAAACTTCACGAATAAAAAAATCCGGAAAATAAGATAAAGCTAAGCAGCAAATTATAGCATTCTTTAAGTTTAATAAACAGAAAAGCTTTCATTATAAATTATTTCATTATAGTGAAAGTCTAGAGTTTTAAACCAAGTGTGAAAATTGAAAATTCAGCAAATATAGCCGTAATAATGCATTGCTTTAGTAAATAAGAAAACTACCATTATATTTTGAAAATTGTATGTTGAAAGCTTTATCATAAGTTTTACAAATAGAAAAATTTGGAAATTAAGAAAAAGCTAAGAATCAAAGAAAAATATTTAGAGCTTTAAAAATAAGAAAGCTTTCAACATACCATGTCAAGTGGAAACTCAAAGTTTTAATTAAGTTTCGAAATTAAGCAAATTCAGAACAATCGAATGAAATAATGTAAAGCTTAATACGTCATAAAAGTTAAAGGCAATAGCAATTTTAATAAACTTAAAATTTATTAAAAATTGAAAACGCTCTTTAGCAAATTAGTAACCGGAGTTTATTAAGATTTGTGAATAAGAAAGCTCCCAACACAGTTTGTTAAAGCAGTGAAAGCTTGAAACTTCACTCTAAAACAATTTGCTGCTATTAATGTCGGTAGTATCGTAATTCAAGCATATTCGTAACTCAGTAACTGATATATTATACATGTAATATTATGCTGGTTGAAATTAATATTCATTTAAATTAATGAAGCTTTCAGTTTCATGGTATTATTTTCAAGGGAAAAAAGTGGATTTCTCGTCTTAGCAAATCACTCATGTAGGCAAAAGCTTCAGTCTCCATTACAATTTATTCAGCACCCTTATCACAATACAGAGAAAGCTGTCAGTCACCCGAAACTTTTTGGAACATTTGTATTTGTCATTTTAAGTGTGATTGGAGGTGGTATGGTGGTGAAAATGAAACTTTGTAATAGGGATACGAAGAATAGCAGGAATAATAAATGCACAAAAATTTAATTATAGACTGTATATTAATTTTATAATACATATTAAAACAAGAAAAAACTTTATGATCAAAAGTCATATCTCGCCAATATGAAACTCGGCATATTTGGGGCGAAAAAACAATTATTATTAAATACTCGAATATTTTTGGCCATCATTTGGCTTTGATATTGTCTGATAAGCAAACGAAAAATTGACTGGTTTAATTTTAGTATTTATGTAAGTACAAAGGTAAATTCATTAGCGACATATGAACAATTTGAAACTAGATAAGTCTGAGGCAAATTATATAACCATTATGACGCAAATTGGTTAGCCAATTGCTGAACGCTTATCATACAGACTGATAGAAGAGCAAAGTAGCCCAATACTTTTATCCAATAAAAATTAGGAAATAGTTCGTAACAATAAGTAATTACGAATAATTACATATGCAATCAAGGAAACAGCAATAAAGAGAAATTATTGAAAATAAACAGTTATTGATGCCCAAAAACATAAAAACTAGATAATGGGTGTTGAGAGATTTAGAAAATAAATATTTAAATGCAATAAAAGATAAAAAAATCAACATTAAAGCAAAAAAAATAAAACAATACAAAAAGCGATAACTACAATAAAAAAAAAAATTAAGTAAATGAAATTAAAAAAACTAAAAAAATAAAATAAACAAAAAACAAAACTAGAATTAAATAAAATAAAATAAAATAGAATGAGATGATAAAAAAAATAAAAATTAAATTAAATTATTTAAATAAAAAAATATAACTAAGTAAAATAATATGATTTGAAATAAAATTAAATTAAATTAAAATATTTTGAATAAAATAAAATAAAATAAAAAATAAATAAAAACAAATAAAATAAAATTAAAAATATAAATGAAAATAAAAAATATAAAAGTTAATTAATTAAATAAATAATATAAAATTAATAATTAATTAATTAATTAAAATAAATTAAATAAAATATAAATAAACCAAATAAAAGTAATATAAAAGTATAAAAGTTAATTAATTAAATAAATAATATAAAATTAAATAAAATGAAATAAAAAAGTAAAATAAATAAAATAAAATAATATGAAACAAAATAAAAATAATAAATAAAATAAAATAAAATTAAAAATAAAATTAATCACATTTTAAATAAAATTAAAAATAAATAAAAGTAATATAAGAATTATTTGATTAAATAAATAATTAAATAAAATTATATAAAATGAAAAAATGAAATGAAGTAAATAAGATAAAATAAAATAAAATTAATTGATTAAATAATTAATTAAAATAAATTAAATTAAATTAAAATAAAATAACATAAATTAAAATAAAATTAATTACATTTTAAATTGAATAAAATAAAATAAAAAATAAATTAAAATAAATAAAAGTAATATAGAAATTAATAAATTAAATAAATGGTTAAATAAAATAATATAAAAAAAATAAAATTATATGAAATGAAAAAAAAACGAAATAAAATAAAATAAAGAGGCCAGAATAAAGTTAAAAATAAAATAAAATTGAAAACAGCAGTTTTATTATTTTTCTTGTACTGTTAACGACGAAAAGAGAGGAAAAGAATTAAGAAATATTTTTATGAAGCTTTAATTCGATTTTATACCGGTAACCGGATGTTACATTGTGCTCTCAATTTTCAATATGATAGTAAGTTTATATATACATACATTTCCGTAATATTAATTTTAATTAATGCAAATACTTATCTAACACGTTTATATGTATGCACACGTATGTACATACATATGTAGAGATATAACGTGCAACTCATTCACTAAGTACGCTTGGTGCATAAAATAGTAAACAAAAACAAGTAAAAACAGTTAAACATGTTGATGTGTGTGTGTGTGTGTTGTCATTGATTGACATAATAAAGGATCGTTAGATAATTGATTAAATGTCTTTATTTTCAAGTGTTTTTATAGATACATACACAAGCTACATGTAAATTAACTTCGGGTATCGATTAAGTCACTCGATATTAATGAAATTAATGCGTGTAGCGGGGCACTGTATGGAAGTTTGGACTTATAATATGTACATATAAGTAAAATCGAATAAATTATTGGATAATAAAAGCTATATTGTTCAACACGTTCCTTTATAAGTTGTCTTACATGCAAATAATTATTTGCCGTATTTTTTTCCTAAAGCCCAGCTTCGACCTTAATTAACATTTAAGTGAATATTTAAATGGATTTACATTGAGCTGGTGCAAAAACATTTCTGTGAAATAATATAGCAATAAAGAAAGCGGTGTAATTTTTCACTCTCATTTCAACATGATTTTTACCCATTCTACGTGTGCATAGCCGCTGCGCATGCTTAAGTAAACCGGATTAACAAAACTATCACTTCAATTACTAACCTTGATTACTGTCAACATTTATTGCCTATAAATATTTGCAATACCTCCGCATACATACGTACAAGAGTAAAATTACACAACACACCTTTTTGTTTTCCCAGCTCTGCGAAGTATGCAATGTGTGTCTGTGGGTGGTAAGGAGCCGCGCAAATATGTAATTTCTTTACCCTTGAACAAATTGTTGGTTACACAACCTTGTAATCATATCGGTAGCATTGATTGCACTGAAGGAAACTAGACAGTATATATATGTGTGTGTGCGTGTGTGTTCGTATATATCCTTTAGAAGAGAGGCATGGCGAGGTTCGAATACTGGGCATTAAGTCGAGTCAAATAGAGGGCTAATTGGATGGCTAGTATTTCTAGCTCTTTAGTTTTATTTTATTTCAACTTAATTCAATTTATTTTATTTTTTTATTTTACTTTTTTATTTTATTTTATTTTTTAAATTTTGTTAATTTAATTAAATATATTTATTTACATTTTTTTCCAATATTCTTTTTCAATTATTTTATTATATATTATTTTAATTATTTTAATAATTTTTTAAATTTTATTTTATTATTTTACTTTGTTCATTTTTTCCATTTTTTATTTTATTTCATTTATTTTTTGTTTTATTTCATCTCAGTTAATTTATTTAAGTTTATTTTATTTTATTTATAATTTTTATTTTAATTTAGTTTACTTCATTATTTCATTTTACTTTATTTTATTTCATTTAAATTTAATTTAGTAGATATTTTTTATTTTTTTTTTAATTAATTTAATTTTTTAAATTACTTTATTAATCAACTTTTTGAATAATTTTATTTTTTGT